TGTCCCTTCTCGGATGTTGGTCCCCGAAGAATCCCCTTCTCTTTATTGTATTTATAATGTCTTTCTCTGTATAGTATTAGTTCTACCAGGATGCAGGTATTCTCTAGAACCTTCCATCTCAAAAAGACAAAAGTAAAAACCTCCCTTGACCTCATTGCTTGTCTTGCCAGGACCCATTTCTCTGCTCTTCCAAAGAGCTGTCTATTTCACTTTCTCCACTTGCTCAAGACGTATCTCTCCTGAACCCCTCCAAACAGGCTTCTCTCTCCGTTGCACCAAGAGTATACTTGTCCAAGTTTGGTTGACCTCCATATTGCCAGTTGAATGCAATTTCATTTTTTTTTTTTCCTTACATGACTTCAGAATTTGATGAAGTGAACTACTACTCCTTTCTTCTTTTGGTTTGTGTGACATCACCCTCTCTTGGTTTTCTTCTATATCTTCTGTCACACTATTTCCAGCACCTTTGCTGGCTCCTTCTCTGCTCAGATTATGTCAGTGTGATCATCAAGAAAGGAGGAAAATCAGAAGATGGTGTTTTGGATACCAAAGGAAGGAAGGGTGCATCCTAGAGGCTGGGTTAGGAGGAGTAGTCACTGGCAGAGGACAGTCAAGCCCAGTGGCCTGGCAAAGTCACAGTTTTATTCAGTGGCACGATGCTCTCAGGGTGAGGAGGATAGAGTTGAAGTAGAGAAAGTAGCTATTTCCAAACCCTCGGGAGACCAGGGAGGGTCTCAGATCATCCACATTTTGGTTATACTAGTTACAGTAATCTACCAGCAAGAAGGAAATGCATTAGAATTTTCCCTTGAGCTAAAGAAGAATGAAGATGGAGAGGAAATTTTTCTGCATCAAAAACATCTTTTTTTCATGTTTATTTATTTTTGAGAGAAAGAAAGAGGGAGAGAGAATGAGAATGAGCAGGGGAGGGACAGAGGGAGAATCCCAAGCAGGAGAATCCCGATGCAGGACTCAAACCCATGAACTTTGGGATCATGACCTGAGCCGAAATCAAGAGTCGGATGCTCAACTGACTGATGCATCATGCATCAAAAACACCTTTGAGAAAGGGAAACAAAGGTGGGCAATTATGTAAATAAAGGCATTGGACCTTAAGAAGTGGGTAGGACACGGAGAGAGGGTGAGAAAACCGATTAAATAAAACAAAATCTACTCTTTAGTTCAGGGCACTTTAATTCCCTTTGAATATTAGTTCACTTTAATGCAGAAACATGAAAATTTGTAGAGCTATCAATAAGAGCCATGAGTTTGGAGGGCAGCATCATTGTTTCTTGGGCTATTCCAAACTAAATAAAGTACCCCAAGCAATATAACAGACTATTTTCAGGAGCAATTTCCACCGTAAGCACAGAAAGGGGTTCTGTGTCGCTTTTTCTTATAGGGGAAAAAAGAGTGAATATCTTTACTGTCTTAGAAACAGTTGTATTAAAAGTACCCAATCTTATTATGACTTTGTATATGTGCTTGACGGATAGAAATGCCGTTAGTTTCCCCTCTGCAATGTCAGAGATTCCAAAATAAGTACCCAGTTACAAAAACCAGATCTGGTTTTCATAGCAAACACGTATATTTTTCTTTTTTAAAAAAGCTTATTTATTTATTTTGAGAGAAAGGGTGAGCAGGGGAGGGGCAGGGAGCGAGGGAGAGAGTGAATCCCAAGCAGGCTCTGCTCTGTCAGTGCAGAGTCCCATGAGGGGCTCGAACTCATGAACCATGAGATTATGACCTGAGCCGAGATCAAGAGTCAGACGCTCGACTGACTGAGCCACCTAGGCACCCCCCTATTTTTTCTATGTAATTGCGTGGTTAGCGGTGGGGACATCACCGCTACATAGCTGGGGTGCTAAGTTACAGGAGTGGTGGGAATGGTACAATCAGTCTTCTCTCAGTTACTCAGATAATTTTAGGTGTTGCTCAGAGTAGCTAATGAAAAAGTGTGGAGATTGCAAAATCAGTTCAAGCAAAAATCTGAGCAAACTTCAGAGTAAAAGCAAGAACTACATCCCATATCTGTTCCATTGTTTCAGCTACTGACCCAACAGCCCTAGCAGGAAATCTGGGGGGCCTTCCTGCCTTTCTTCCCTTCTCTCTGCTTTTTCTTCTTGGTTCTCCTCGTCTGCCTCCAACCCTTGAACACCTGTTTTCAGCCTCACTATTGCCTTGGGCCTGGGTGGGGAGGGGGCCATGTTGAGGGTGGGTCCCTTCCCTGCCTCTGTGCAGACCCCGGTTCTTGAGTTCGTCCAAGAAAGAATGCAGAGCCAAACTCTCAAGTAAGCAAGGCTTTATTAGAAAGTTCAAAAGCAGAAGTACACTCTCCGGATGGGACAGCAGGCAGGCTCAGAGACGGCAGATGCACCAGGGCTGGGGGTGCCTTCTCTCTTTATGCTTTTGCCTCCATAGCTAGGGCAGTCTCTGAGATTGCTTCCAGTCAACTAAGGGACCCTCCTACTGGTTGGGAGGGGGGAACTTTTGGCCCTATAGGGTCCTTGTCCAAACTGTCATGGCAGCCTTCCCTTCCAAAGGGGAGTCGAAACTACAAAGTAAATGTATTATAATGAAGCTATAGGTTGCTTTAGGGCAGTGCTTATAGGGAAAGGCACATGTGTGCTCCCTGGGGCTTTTCCTAGCTGTTTGTGTTCTGGATTTTTATTTATTTATATTCGTTCGTTTGTTTGTTTGTTTGATTAATGGTCAGAAAATCCTGTTCCCTGCTAATATCTAGCTAACTGCCTATTCTATCAGATAGGGAATAAGATTGTGTGAAATTAGAATTTTGGTAGGGAAAGGGGGCTGGCATGGGCTGGCATGTGTATTCTTAAAAAGCACCCCCCCCCCGGGGATTCTGATTCCCCTCCCCACCACCACCACAGTTAAGAACCTGAAGGTATAATACAAATTCTGAAGATCAAAGGAAATACAAGATCTTTCACAGCAGGAACAGATATTCTAAACCCCAGATGCGTCATTCAGGCAAAATAAAGGACAAAAAGGCACCAGGAAGGAGATGTGAGAGAACATGAAATAAAACAGGACAAGCCAGAGACCCAGATTTGAGATATTCAATACCGATCTTTGGCCACCCCTGCACCCCCAGCCTGCCTCTGGGCAATAGGACTCTGCCCAGTTCTGACTGTGTGTCCTTCTCTAATGGGGATGCCAGCGTCATTAATTCTGTGTCTTCCTAGACTGCAGACTGCCAGAGGGTGGAATTACAAATCTTTTACTTTTTACCTATCTGGTGCCTGGCAAAGGGTAGACACTAACTAAACATATGCTGCTGAATTCAGTGAGTGAATGTGTGTTTCTAATCTGCACCTGGATATCTCTACCAAGATGTTCCAAAAGCGCCTGAAACTCAACATGACCCCAAACTGATCTTTTTATTTGGATTGTGCTCACTCGTGTGCCTCTACTTCCGTATTGGTTGGTGGAATGGTGTCGAGCAGTCAGAACCCTGATGTCTTCTGGTGTGCCCACAACTTGGCACTCAGTAGCCACTCGCTTTTTCCTTCTTAAACTTCCTGTTTCCTGAGACACTATTATCCCCTGGTTTTCCTTCTTTCTGGCTGCTCTTCCTCGGCCGATATGGTTCCATAGGTCCAGGCCCTCGGTACCTATCCGATTTTATAAGGTCCCCCGGGGACCTCATCCATGTGCACATTTCTGGTTCCATCCATGTCCCAGTAGCCCTCTGATCTCCACCTCCAACCCTGGTCTCTGCAAATGTAGACCCACCTACCTCCTGGACCTCTCCACTTGGCCAATATCTCAAATTGGACATATCCCAAAAGGAATTCATCTTCCTTCACCATCTGCCAGTTCAGTGAATGGGAGCAATGTTTTCCTTATTTCACACCTCAATCTTTTTTACTCCCCATATCCAACCAATTCCCCACTCCCGTCTTTGCCTCCAAAATGTCTCCTGGATCCACCGAAATTCTCCTTCCTCCCTGCCCTGATCCAAGCTGTCTTCTCTGGGAAGACTCTGGGAAGTCTCTGAATTAGTTTCCCCATAATCTTTGTCCTGCTGCAATGTATTCCTTATGCTAAAAATCCAGAGCAATTAAAAAGAATAACTCACAAATCTGATTGGGTCACTTCCCTCCCAAACTTTTCAATGTCTTGCCTTAAATCATGGACTAAACGTAGGATTTCACTGTATCGATGCAGACTTGCACATAAATGATATTTACCTGTGATAAATGGGATGGTGATGGGGGAACATGCAAAATGGTCTGCATAGAGAGGAAGGAGTGAATCACGCAACTAGGTGGAAAATAATAGCTTAACAGTGAGTCCCGGCACTCTGCATAGGTGGAGAGGTGTCTCTGGGCAAGGGCTTGGGGCAGCAAGTGGGACAGATTGCATGCCTTGAGTTTTCAGTGGGGCCAAAACATCACGGAGGCCCGTGGAGTTGGCCAAGCAATCCTGGAGGTCAGAGAGGAGGAGACAGGGCACAGCAGGAGACTGGCGCCATATGGAAAGTCCACTGTTGGTTGGAAAGAGGACTTTTGAGGAACAGGAATGTCTCGGTGGGATTTTTAGCCATTAGGTGACATGTATATGCCCCCACCCACTCCCCCACGCCACCCCCAACCTCTGCCAGCTCCTGCTGCCTTGAAGCCCTTCAGTGAGGTCTACTATTTAGAAATGGTGGGTTGTTGTCTTTGTTGTTGTTTTAAATGAAAATGGCGATGGGCTTAAATTTCCTCTCTGGATTGTTGCAGTGCGAAACGGAGCCTGCAGCAGGGAAGCAAGGATCAGAAACCACAGATCTTCAAAAGTACAAACTCACAGACTTTGGGGAAAGGCTTTGGGCTTCGCAGGAAATAGAATTAAGGGTTTGAACCAGTATAGGTTTGAACCTAGATTTTGAGTCGCACCCCCCTCCAACTACCTGGGTTACACTAGGATTCTCCTAGGCTGGGAGGGATCCGGCGCCATCAGAGAGGAGGTGACACTTGAGCACAGCCTTCTTAAAGAATAGGTAGGGATTTTCCCAGTCAGAGGGAGGCATTCCAGGGGATTGAATATGATGTGGCAAGACACAGAGCTGAGAAAGGTGTTAGCTTTTTTTTTTTTAAAATATTTTTTTTTCAACGTTTATTTTTTTTGGGGGACAGAGAGAGACAGAGCGTGAACGGGGGAGGGGCAGAGAGAGAGGGAGACACAGAATCGGAAACAGGCTCCAGGCTCCGAGTTGCCAGCACAGAGCCCGACGCGGGGCTCGGACTCCCGGACCGCGAGATCGCGACCCGGCTGAAGTCGGACGCCCAACCGACTGCGCCACCCAGGCGCCCCTAAAGGTCTTAGCTTTAATGGCTTGTGACCCACGAAGGGTAAATGGGACCCTACCAGGAGCTGTGGTCCAGAATCCCCATCTGGCGCAGCCCAGCTCCCACAGTGCCTGAAAGGGGCTTTCTAACCACACTGTAGACCTATCATTTCAGCATTAGCCAAGATGCTTATTTTCCCCTGCAATCAAAGACGGAGTGGAGGCCAGCAGAGCAGAATCCTAGCTCCTTCGAGCCAAGAAAGACTGACTTATTAGTCTTTTGTCATCAGACAGTTCAACAATCAATGGGCACCAAGCTGACATTTGGCCGAGTGACATCAGCAGAGCTGTTGAACCTCAGATAGGCAGCATTTCAATAGCCCGTGGTCACTAGGAAGAATTGCTACTGGGCACAGCAAAAGCAAAAACAGTGTCATTCAAAGACAAAAAAGAACCTCAACTCTGCCAGACTGGGGGGAGCAAACCCATTCATCACCAGGATGGTCCTACAATGACCCAATTTACAAATGGGGTGGAAATGCTCATTCACAGTCTGTTCCCGGTAGAGCATTCACGACACATGGTCTACATTTATCAGGGCAAAGAATGCTTGTCCAGCCTTGCCCTTTTAAAGACTGGCCCGTCCTCAAAGACAGAAATCTTTTCCTGACTTCTGAGTGCGTTTGTCATGAAATGAATAAAACAGAAGGGAAGAATAAACCAGGAAAGACAGGCTTGAAAGTGCCAAGTTATTGTCATTACCAGAAAACAGGGAGGGCGTGTTGAAGACGGAAGCGCAACAAAAAATCCTACCCCGACTGACTGCAAATCGCTCTTTTAGCTTCCATTAAGTAATGGCCATATTGCTCAATGAATGAGGACAGCAATTACGTGCCTTCTCATCCTGTCATCCTAACACCTCATGGCTGTGGCACACCCTGGCTCTGGGCCAGCATCACTTTTTCATTTGATCACACAGCACGCGGAGAAGAAGGTGGCTCTCGCGGTCCTCAGGCCACAGGGCTCTCCGGTCGGTCTCGCAGACCTTCCTGAGCAAGCACGGACTGAGAACTTGGCAAACTGGATGGGGAAGTGTCAAGGGCATACTCTCCAAATTGCTCTGCTCAGAGCAGAGTACAGCCTCTCCTGGACTCACACGAGATCTTAAGAGATGGCAGATGTACGGATGTTTGGTGCCCTTTTCCTGTGCAAGTAGACTTCCTGGAGGTCCTTAGGTTGCTGGGCTTGTGAACGGCTGAGCCTGCCTGGCTGGAGGGCTTTGGGGGCTATAAACCGGAGGGACGCAGAACGGGATAGAGGAGAGGCTGTTACACCTGCCTCACCGTGCCACGCGGCTCTTACCTCTACTAGCAGAGATTTAACTTGGGTCCGCTTCAGAGAGCCCCAAGGACACTTGATTGGAAATCCCCACACCTCAAGGCTGCCTCCTGGGTTGTTTCTGGGAAAAAATACCCTGATGTCCTTTAGAAGCTCAGTTGAGATGGCTGGCTAGGAAGTAGACATTCCCTCCCTGGGCTGGGGGCGGGGCGGGGGGGGGGGGGAAGAGCAAGGAAGGCAAGACTGACCGAAAGCTTTTCTCTGAAGGGTTGGAGGGACACTCATCCCAGGCAAACCAATAGATTGGGGCTCTCAGGATGACCTCCCCACCTCTGCCCTGCTTTCAGCTGCCCTTCAAGCCCTGGGTCATGTCTTGAGAGTTAGCACTGTCCCTGACAGGGCAGGGGTGGGGACTACCTGGAAGGGGAATTTGAGTCATGAGAAGTGTACTGGGTGCTCTAGTTCGTGGGTGGTCTCCAAACCTTTTTGGCTACATATGCCATGAGTGAAAACTGTTTGATGATGCGTGCTCAAAAGATGTAGTTTCATTTATAAATTATTTACATGTACTGTCATCTATCACGTATTTAATATTGGTAAACTTGCTTCCAGATAAAAAATAAGTATAAATAGAAGTTCTAATATTTTCTTTCACCTGTCCGCAGTTGACCACATTCTATACCTTGTGTGTTATCTGTACCCCACTTTGGACTACTACGTTTTTTGAGTGCTTATTATTTTTTATTTTTTATTTTTTGAGAGAGAGAGAGAGACAGAGAGGGAAAGAGTGCAATTGGGGAAGGGTCGGGGGGGGGGGCAGAGGATCCCAA